CGATGAAACTTCCTTCGAGCTAGTGACGATGAAACTTCCTTTCAGCTAGTGACGATGAAAGTTCCTTTGAGCTAGTGCCGATGAAACCTCCTTTGAGCTAGTGACAATGAAACTTCCTTCGAGCAAGTGATGTTGAAACTTCCTTTGAGCTAGTGATGTTGAAACTTCCTTTGAGCTATAAGTGACGATGAAACTTCCTTTGAGCTAGTGCCGATGAAATGTCTTTTGAGCTAGTGACGATGAAACGTCCTTTGAGCTAGTGACGATGAAACTTCCTTTGAGCTAGTGACGATGAAACTTCCTTTGAGCTAGTGACAATGAAACTTCCTTCGAGCTAGTGCCAATGAAACTTCCTTTGAGCTTGTGCCGATGAAACGTCCTTTCAGCTAGTGATGATGAAACGTCCCTAGAGCTAGTGACGATGAAACTTCCTTTGAGCTAGTGACGATGAAACTTCCTTTGAGCTAGTGATGATGAAACGTCCTTTCAGCTAGTGACGATGAAACTTCCTTTGAGCTAGTGCCGATGAAACGTCCTTTCAGCTAGTGATGATGAAACGTCCCTAGAGCTAGTGACGATGAAACTTCCTTTGAGCTAGTGACGATGAAACTTCCTTTGAGCTAGTGATGATGAAACGTCCTTTGAGCTAGTGACGATGAAACGTCCTTTGAGCTAGTGATGATGAAACGTCCCTAGAGCTAGTGATGATGAAACTTCCTTTGAGCTAGTGACGATGAAACTTCCTTCGAGCTAGTGACGATGAAACTTCCTTTGAGCTAGTGACGATGAAACTTCCTTTGAGCTAGTGCCGATGAAACCTCTTTGAGCTAGTGACAATGAAACTTCCTTCGAGCAAGTGATGTTGAAACTTCCTTCGAGCTAGTGATGTTGAAACTTCCTTTGAGCTAGTGACGATGAAACTTCCTTTGAGCTAGTGCCGATGAAATGTCTTTTGAGCTAGTGACGATGAAACGTCCTTTGAGCTAGTGACGATGAAACTTCCTTTGAGCTAGTGACGATGAAACTTCCTTTGAGCTAGTGACAATGAAACTTCCTTCGAGCAAGTGATGTTGAAACTTCCTTTGAGCTAGTGACATTGAAACTTCCTTTGAGCTAGTGACGATGAAACTTCCTTTGAGCTAGTGACGATGAAACTTCCTTTGAGCTAGTGACGATGAAACTTCCTTCGAGCTAGTGACGATGAAACATCCTTTGAGCTAGTGATGTTGAAACTTCTATTATCTTTTTGCAACTGCCATGACTTCATGCTGAATGAATTTTTAACCTTAATCAATTTTTGCAAATTTCATGAGATTATTTAGCATAGTTTATGAGCACTTATAATACATTCTCCTATTTCTACGTGGATACCTCTAACATTAGACAAACAGACTTGGCTACTGCTAGGTTCCATCCCTGCTAATTGTTCCAGTGTGTTTTTATTTACATTCTGAACTGGAAGGTAGCCTAGTCATTACAGTGTTCTCTTGCTCTGGTTAAGGGTTCGACAGTGGTTTCAGTGTGTGAAGCCCATTCTTGGTGTCCGCTACCTGAATATATGGCTGCTTTATTCCTAAAGGTGGTGTAAAACCCGATTTGTAAACTGTGTACTAACCTAAGACTTTAATTATTTGTTTTTTTAGTTGGTTCTTGAGACTGACCAACAAAATATTACTGAAATTAGCATGATTAGAAGGAAAGAAAATATGACTGTGACAAAAAAACAACTTGGCCGACTCTATTTTACAATTAGTTGAAATGAAAAAATCCCTGCTGTTCTAAAGAAATGGTTAAAATTATGTAAAAATGTCTTTATCCTAACAAGAAAAACAATCAATTATTTTTCGGTATCATTCCGCAATTGTACTTTCATGATGGTGTGTCCTTCAAGTTTGTTATTCAATCAATCTGACAGTACTAATTGGGAAGTTGAAAATTGTTTATATTTATTTTTCAATGACCCACCATGAATTTTAGGCCAAAACATATATCAATCTACTAATAAAATACAAAAGGCCTAATAAAATTTTTTTTGGAAAAAATAAATATTACGATTTTCCAAACAATTGCTGCCTCAGCTTTTCAAGTTGTGTAATATAAACATATTCTTTCGATCAATATAAAGTTCATTTCGTGTCAATTGCTTGTCAAAAGCAGAAAATAAAATGTTATTTCTATCTTAATCTTGCCTACTCTCTTTCAAACAAATAATTGGCTGAATTCAACAGTTGATATGCTGGCTACGATGTATTCTAGGTCCCAAAATAAACATCCTATTACCATTTATTCTGAGAACCATCCCATCACTGTCAAAGAAAAGAAACTTTAATTCATCAAATTTGGACAAAGGAGTAATTTCGAGATGGGAAGAATCCCTCCCAATTTCATGTCTGGATATTTGAGCTGTGTCAACTTACAATGTCTCTACCCTGCCGGGAAAATCAAAGAATCGCTCAACTGTTGAGCTGCACTTTTGGCTTTGGTTGTAAATCAAATAGGAGATATTGATTGGAGGGCAGACTTTTGTGAAAAAGGAGATTGCACAATTTGTTGATCACTAAACCGTATAAACTGCTTCACCACTGCCCTGGCTCTGAGTGTAAGACCATCATGAATTGAGTTGTGTTCATGAAGGTTCAAATGTTGTTTTATGGATTCATGATTTGTGCAGAGTAAAAACAGTTTTTGATTGATTGGGGCTGCTTGATTTGGAATATTTGCTGATTTTAAACTTTTGGGGATGACATACAACGCTTGGAATATTTTGTATTTTTTTCGATATCGTTACATGTATTTGATGCATTCTGTAGGTTATGGCCTCATCTTGGCTAAATAGCTCGTGCTGGTGGCACATTATTTCTCAGGAAAAGAGGATTTATTTGTGTGTATAACCATGTTAGGATGCTGTCCACTACTCAGTGATGATTTGTAAACCATTTATTCAGAAAAAGGTCCCGATATTATCCTTGTTGTGCACATGAATGCATTTGATACAGAGAGAAATGGATTCTTAGTTGTAGAGATGTCGTGAAGGTTTGGAGGAGAATGATTATAGTTTGTGATGAAGCATTTAACAATATTACATCATGAAGGATGATTGCATAGTCGACACAGATTTGTCTCAACTCTGATGCTGCCATGGGGATACCGAGTTAGAAGTGGTCACCAGATCTGGTCACCAGAATCAGTGTTTGAAATAATTTAAAAACCCAACAAGACCTGACTAGTCAGGCAGGTGACCCAAAAATGTTGCCTGCCCATCTGCAAAGTTACCTGCCTGCATTCAGACATTATAAATATTAAAAGTCTTGAAAAATATGAGGGAAATCACGTCTTGATTCATTTGAAATAATGCTTACAATTATTTGAGAATTTACGAGAAGTTATTATAACACTTAATATGTAAATTGGTTTTAAATTATCAGCCAGGCTGTCAGACTGGCAGGTAGAGGATAATTTCATGCAGCCCTACAGAGAAGTTACCAGCCACGGGTATTTGGGCAGGATTGGCAACTATGATTGATCGTAAGAGGCGACTTGGTGGATCGGGTGGTCAGGCTCTGTGACTTGCTCGGGCGGTCTGGTAGCCTAGTGGTTAAAGCGTTCGCTCGTCACGCCGAAGTCCCGGGTTCGATTCCCGACATTGGTACAATGTGTGAAGCCCATTTCTGGTGTCCCCCGCCGTGATATTGCTGGAATATTGTTAAAAGCGGCGTAAAACCATACTCAGTCAGTCAGTCAGTCTGTGACTTGCTTGATGGTATGTCATTGTACCCTGACAACGTGGATTGTTTTTCCAATTTCAGTGACTGGATTGTCTGATCAAAACTTGATTATTTACTGTCCTCTGTCATATAGCTGGAGTATTGCTGAGTTGCACATTAAGCAACAAACCCATTTAACTCTAAATGAATATCAGATACTCACAATTATTTAGAGAACAAGTTACTAGCCACAAGGAATGCCCCGAGTGAATTAATGTTTGTGCCTTTTCAAAGGTCTTTTTAACTTTATTTAATGAGGGACATCTATTCAATAATTCCCAGTTGTCATGGTTATGTGTAGGTTATTCTCTATATTATCTTCTTCTTTTTTTTTGATGGCCTCCGTGGTTTAGAGGTGGAGCATCCGCCCGGAGAGCAGAAGGTCCTAGGTTTGATCCATGGCCACGTCATACCAAAAGACGTTTAACATGGTCTTGTTGTTACCCTGTCTGGCGCTAAACAAGGATTGGTCGTCTTGTCGGAGTCAATATACTGTGTCTGAGTGGGGTATTCGTGTTAAACTGCAGCATGGTATCTGAGTGTGCTAGCACTATAAATCAGCATCAGTCCGGACAAGTGCAAGCACACACACACACAAACACAGAAACACACACACACACACACACACACACACACACACACACACACACACACACACACACACACACACACACACACACACACACACACACACACACACACACAGAGGATGACCACACTGGATGACCTCTACTTTGTGAAATTGCATTTATTTTGTCTCCCTCCTCCCCATTATATGTGGCAGTGAGCACTAAGTAAAAATTATTTATTCTAACCTTAAGTGTTTGCTTTTAATAACTTACACCAAACACTAATTAGTAGTGAAAATTAGTGGTAAAAATAGAAATATTTTCATCCATTGCGCCATATTTGACACTGCCAACTGTAATTCGTCAGTGTGCCAGGTATTTTGGCCATCCTGTCTTTGAGAAAGATGTCTGTCGGATCCTGAGCAATATATCGTGATATGTATCGAATTGCACAGTTTGTGTTTTTTCTAATTATATGCATGTAAATGCAAATGCAAGGTCCCTGCTGATGTACTGTAGCCAGTTTTGCTTTGTTTGACTGTGCAGAATAATGCCAAAGGTTGTGGCCCTTTCTTCATGACAGGATCTGCTGACCATGGGTTTAAATCACATACTCGTTTTGATCATGACTTATGTTTACTAATATTTTTTATATTTATTAATACAGAGCCTGGCGGAGGTGTTCCGATGTTTCATCTGCATGGAAAAGCTGCGGGATGCCCGCCTCTGTCCCCACTGCTCCAAGCTGTGCTGCTTCTCCTGTATCAGGGTAGGTAACTCCTGTGTCCCTATTGCTTCTCCTGTATCAGGGTAGGTAACTCCAGTGTCCCCATTGCTTCTCCTGTATCGTGGTAGGTAACTCCTCTGTCCCCACTGCTCCAAGCTGTGCTGCTTCTCCTGTATCAGGATAGGTAACTCCTGTGTCCCCACTGTTCCAAGCTGTGCTGCTTCTACTGTATCAGGATAGGTAACTCCTTAGTCCCCACTGCTCCAAGCTGTGCTGCTTCTCCTGTATCAGGGTAGGTAACTCCTGTGTCCCCACTGCTCCAAGCTGTGCTGCTTCTCCTGTATCAGGATAGGTAACTCCTTAGTCCCCACTGCTCCAAGCTGTGCTGCTTCTCCTTTATCAGGGTAGGTAACTCCTGTGTCCCCACTGCTCCAAACTGTGCTGCTTCTACTGTATCAGGATAGGTAACTCCTTAGTCCCCACTGCTCCAAGCTGTGCTGCTTCTCCTGTATCAGGGTAAGTAACTCCTTAGTCCCCACTGCTCCAAGCTGTGCTGCTTCTCCTATATCAGGGTAGATAACTCCTTAGTCCCCACTGCTCCAAGCTGTGCTGCCTCTCCTGTATCAGGGTAAGTAACTCCTTAGTCCCCACTGCTTCTCCTGTATCAGGGTAGGTAACTCCTGTGTCCCCACTGCTCCAAGCTGTGCTGCTTCTCCTATATCAGGGTAGGTAACTCCTTAGTCCCCACTGCTCCAAGCTGTGCTGCTTCTCCTATATCAGGGTAGGTAACTCCTGTGTCCCCACTGCTCCAAGCTGTGCTGCTTCTCCTGTATCAGGGTAGGTAACTCCTTAGTCCCCACTGCTCCAAAATGTGCTGCTTCTCCTGTATCAGGGTAGGTAACTCCTGTGTCCCCACTGCTCCAAGCTGTGCTGCTCTCCTGTATCAGGGTAAGTAACTCCTGTGTCCCCACTGCTCCAAACTGTGCTGCTTCTCCTGTATCAGGGTAGGTAACTCCTTAGTCCCCACTGCTCCAAACTGTGCTTCGTCTCCTGTATCAGGATAGGTAACTCCTTAGTCCCCACTGCTCCAAACTGTGCTGCTTCTCCTGTATCAGGGTAGGTAACTCCTTAGTCCCCACTGCTTCTCCTGTATCAGGGTAGGTAACTCCTTAGTCCCCACTGCTCCAAACTTTGCTGCTCTCCTGTATCAGGGTAAGTAACTCCTGTGTCCCCACTGCTCCAAACTGTGCTGCTTCTCCTGTATCAGGGTAGGTAACTCCTGTGTACCCACTGCTGCTCCTGTATCAGGGTAGGTAACTCCTGTGTCCCCACTGCTGCTCCTGTATCAGGGTAGGTAACTCTTGTGTCTCCACTGCTTCTCCAGTATCAGGGTAGGTAACTCCTGTGTTGCAAATGCTTCTCCTGTAACATGGTAGGTAACTCCTGTGTCTCCACTGCTTCTCCTCTATCGGGGTAGGTAACTCTTGTGTCTCCACTGCTTCTCCTGTATCAGGGTAGGTAACGCCTGTGTCGTCCCGGCTTCTCCTGTATCAGGGTAGGTAACTCTTGTGTCTCCACTGCTGCTCCTGTATCAAGGTAGGTAACTCCTGTGTCCCCACTGCTGCTCCTGTATCAGGGTAGGTAACTCTTGTGTCTCCACTGCTTCTCCTGTATCAGGGTAGGTAACTCCTGTGTTGCAAATGCTTCTCCTGTAACAGGGTAGGTAACTCCTGTGTCTCTACTGCTTCTCCTGTATCAGGGTAGGTAACTCCTGTGTCTCCACTGCTGCTCCTGTATCAGGGTAGGTAACTCCTGTGTCCCCCCTGCTGCTCCTGTATCAGGGTAGGTAACTCTTGTGTCCCCCCTGCTGCTCCTGTATCAGGGTAGGTAACTCCTGTGTCCCCACTGCTGCTCCTGTGACAGGGTAGGTAACTCCTATGTCGCCACTGCTTCTCCAGTATCAGGGTAGGTAACTCCTGTTTCCCCATTGCTTCTCCTGTATCAGGGTAGGTAACTCCTGTTTCTCCATTGCTATGAGCTGTGCTGCTTCTCCTGTATTCATATTTTCTCCAGGTGTACACAGTTGGATGTTAACATTTATTGAATTTTGAAGACAACAATAAGACAACACAAGTGTAAGCAGGTGTGGTGTCACCCTGGGCAAGTGACTTAGTTCAAATGTGCCTCTCAGGTCACCCAGCAGGGAATGAGTACCCGATATGTGAGGTGGATGCAAAAACCTACTAGCGCCTCTGGGCAGATTGGGTTGTATACTCCCCAGGGAGTTGAGAATGATAACTGGAATGTAAACGCATCTGGTCGGGGAACAAATAAAAAATGCATTTGAGCAGATACTAGTACCTGGATACCTGAGGTATATGAATGTGTAGTTTAAAAAAAAAAAAAAAATAAGAACTTTCATGTGGGTTTGTTGTGTTTACAAACTGTGTGAAACCTGTTGAGATGTATTTGTAAAGCATTTAAAAAAATATGTCTCATGATTTGTTTAATATGATTTGAAATACATATTAATTTCCTAAGAGTGTACAATTGATGAACAAAATTGAAATTTGAATATTGTACTAGATGCCTTTGTTGAAAGAATGGCTTGAAGTAGTTCAATATTTCATCTGAAACCAAAATTCCAAGTGCACCAACCCTGCAAGCCACGATGATGAAATTACCAGTCATTTATGATATGTGTGTATGTCCACAGAGATGGCTGACGGAGCAAAGGTCTCAGTGCCCCCACTGCAGGTATGTCACGTTCAGGACACGTGGTACAGCTACTCACAGTACCGGTATCAACATGCATCTGGGGAGGAGGGGGGAAGTTTAGCACCAATCATATATTTTCATACACTTGCTGAAAAGTTTGTAGAAACCCATTGGATGTTTGTTTCTTCAAGGGGAATGCATGTTGTCATATCATGTGATGTAAGAATTGTCATGGAACGGTTACAAAGCATGTCAGTATGATAAATATTTCCTGTAAGCAAAATTTGTTTCAGTAAAAACTTTGATGTGATATGATTTTTCAGAATGGATATTTTATATAGAACTATGTAACTGATGCTTCACTGTAATCCAGGTGTATGCTCATGCTTCAGCATATGCTCTCTGTCTCTCTCTGTGTGTCTCTCTCTATGTCTCTCTCCCCTTTCTCTCTTTTCTTTCAATCTTTCTCTCTCCTCTTTCTCTCTCTCCCCTCTCTCTCTCTCCCTCTCTCTTTCCCCCCTCTCTTTCTCTCTCCCTCTCTCTCTCCCCCTCTCTCCCCTCTCTCTCTCCCTCTCCCTCTCTCCCCCTCTCTCTCCCCTCTCTCTCTTTCTCTCTCCCTCTCTCCCTCCCCCTCTCTCTCTCTCTCCCTCTCTCTCTCTCCCCTCTCTCTCTCTCCCTCTCTCTCTCCCCCTCTCTCCCCTCTCTCCCTCTCTCTCCCCCCCTCTCTCTCCCCTCCCTCTCCCTTTCTCCCCCTCTCTCTCTTTCTCTCTCCCTCTCTCCCTCCCTCTCTCTCTCGCTCTCTCTCTCTCTCTCTCTCTCTCTCTCTCTCTCTCTCTCTCTCTCTCTCTCTGTCTCTGCCAATAGAAGTGTACAGTAATGTTTATGGAAGTTGTTCTCCATGTTTACAGAGCATCGTTGCACCTCCATGAGCTGGTCAACTGCCGGTGGGCGGAGGAGGTGACCCAGCAGCTGGACACCTTGCAGCACTGTGCCCCGCCCCCTCGCACAGACAACGTGGAGAAGGATCAGTAAGTGAAGGATGTCAAGGGCAGACAATTCACACTTGACCTTGGTCTGGAAAACAGAAGCAGAGGCTTCCAGTTGTATGTCTAGTTTCACTGAATCCAATGCTGTCAAGTTTAATCTTCGAATATGTGATTTCGTAATGTTTAGATCTTTTAGGCTAAAACAATATAACTTGGTTATCAGCCACAAGTAACTCAGGAAGTACACCAAAATGAGTTATTCCTACTTAGACAGTCAAAGGCAAGTTTTGGGTCCCGTCTTAGCGCTAAGACGATAGTAACTGCCATACTTTAACATGCGCTAACAGTGCTAAGATCGCTTTGTGGAACGAGACCCTTATCCTCAATGACACACTTGTTCACCTCGATAATAATAATATTCCACCTGCCTGTACAAGATTTAAAAAAAAGTTTTTTCTGCGAATCCTTTGTTTTGTATATTTGTGTCTAAAAGATTCTGAAAATATGTCCAATAAACACAGACAAAAATAAGTCCCTAGCAACAATATTAATATAAAGATCTGCCAGACAGTGTGAGACGGGTTGTTTTTGTGTCACATGGTCAACTTTTACAACAGGCCAGCCGATGGTCTGCCCGAATTCCTTAAAGTAGATTGAGTTAATAAAAGAAAGTAAATGAACATATATCATGAGTGGCATTTAGAAAATGACCCTATGTTAATATATCTAAGAAGACTTGCAACGAGTATATCCCATATAGATTCAGGATCTCCATATCCGTGAAGATCCAGAGGAGAATAGGTTTTCAGCAACCCATGCTTGCTGTAAAAGGCGACTGCTTGTCGTAAGAGGCGACTGCTTGTCGTAAGAGGCGACTAACGGGATCGCGTGGTCAGACTGGCTGAACTGGTTCATGCATGTCATCGCATCCCAAATGCGTGGATCGATGCTCATGATGTCAATCACTGGATTGTCTGGTCCAAACTTGATTATTTACGGACTGCCATTATATAGCGGGAATACTGCTGAGTGCGGCATTAAACAACAAACAAACAAAAATCATCATCTCAGTTATTCTCATAGGTTGTTAGTTGTGTTTATTGTTTGGTCAAGTATAAAAGAAATCTGAACTTTTTAAGCTGGTGGGCTGGAATTTATCTGAATGTTAAACACAGCTAGACAACACTTGTCATATAAAGTGATGGACTGGTTGGTCAGGTTGAACGTGGTTGTTGTTGCAGCTGTGAAGAGCACCAGGAGAAGGTGACCGTCTACTGCTGGACGTGCAAGATCTGTATCTGCCATCAGTGTGCCCTCTGGGGAGGGACGGTAAGCACAGATTAATCCCCCATGGTACTCCCATGACCCCCATTTTGAACTCTTTACTTTCCTTATGGTGCTTTCTCATTGTTCTGCCACTGATCCCCACCTAATCTGTCCCATTGATGCCCCGAATTTGTCCCACTGATGCCCCAAATCTCTCACATTGATGCCCCAAATCTGTCCAATTGATGCCCAAATCTGTCCCATTGATGCTACAAATCTGTTCCATTGATGCCCCAAATCTCTCACATTGATGCCTCAAATCTCTCACATCATTTTGTTGCCATCTCATTAAAATCAGATGTTTTACTCCGATACCTATGCAGCATACCTGAGACCTCCGCCACCTCACCACCTCATTTCAGAAGACTTGATTTTAATGAAGGAAACCCTCCCAAGAACACAAATAATCCTTCAATGGATCTCCCATTTTGGTGCTCAGAAACAACAGCGCCAATGACAGCATCATGGCACAGCCTTTATTGTTTGCATATGGAACAGGACATTTAACTTCATTTTTGAGATTTAGATATCAGATATGCTAGTCTGAATGATCAGTGTTGATGCTGAATGGGACCACCATGGTCTAGTGGTAGAGCGTCCACCTGGAGAACGGAAGGTTGGGGGTTCAATCCCCTGGCGCGTCATACAAAAAAACCATTAAAAAATGGTACTTGAAACCCTGCCTGGGGATCGTCATTAAGGGGCTATAACGAGGACTAGTCAGCTCGGAGTCATTATACTGTGTCTGAGTGGGGTATTCATGTTAAACTGTGGCATGGTAATTCAGTGGGCCAGCACTATACAATCGGCATTAGTCTGGACGAGTAGTAGTTCAAGCAGTCACACAAACACATGTGCATGCACGTTACTATATAAGTGCAATAATCTTGAACACAATGTTAGACCCCATTTCACCACCTCACCTGACACTGATTGGAACTGATTCACCTGATCTGCATGGTAGTATCATATCGGAGTAAGAGATTGGAGTTTGATGAGATTGTCACTGTTGTGTCCTGTTGTCCAGCACTCCGGTCACACGTTCAAGCCGCTGGACTCCGTGTACGAGGAGCATGTCAAGAAGATCACGATGGACATGACCCAGCTGAGACGGAAGCACGTGGAACTCATCAGCCTTGTACAGGATGTGGTACGTGTGGATTTCTGCCTCTACTGTTCCACAAGTCAAAACATGAAATTAGTCAAACATTTGAGGATACTGTGTTTAGAGAAGCAATTTATGGTGATGTGTCGTAGCCGAGCAGTGGAGAGCCTTGCTTGCTGTGCCAAGTCAGTTAAGTGGGAAGACAGTTAAATATGGATAGAATATACTGATTTAATTTCACTTAAACTGTTCCACTAGTCCAAAAAATATATTAGTCAAGCATTTGAGGATACTTAGGAGAAGCACTTTATGGTGATGTTTGATGTAACTGAGCGACGAAGAGCCTGGTTTGATGAAGGGCCTTGTTTGGTTAAGGCCCTTGTTTGGTTAAGGCCATTGTTTGGAAGGTCAGTTTAATATCGATGAATATTGCTCACGTTATTTAAGTCCTATGTAAACATCTCAATGTGAAATGTTTTCAAGAAAGGGGACATCACTAACACTGGATTAAAACTAAAACCATTGTCAAATTTCTTAAGTATGAGACAGGGATGAAATTTCATGCTTCCCAAACTAAAATGTTGACCAAATAGCGTTTCAGTGAGTGTAGTCAATGGACATTCCCACATGGGAATTCCATTTCAGTTAACACCAAAATGAGGCTCCCAACATCCCATGCTTGTTGAAAGAGCTGACAGAAAACGGGATCTGCTGGTAATGTGACTTAGCAAGCCACGCTGATGTATATGATATGCTGACTGGCTAAAGCAACATGCACTGACTGACTTGTAGCGCACAACAATTAATTCACATGCTACCTGATCCTGACATCAATTTAACCTTTCAAGTTTCCTTGGTGTTCTAGATGACAGTGAGGGGGCATGGGTGGCCCAGTCGTCTAAGGCGCCGCGATTCGCTGTGCAGAGTTGCGTCCCTTGGACACGCCAGAAACCTATGATTGTGGGTTCGAATCCCGGTTTGCCCCGATTATGTTTCTAGGTTTGTCAGCACCATACCAATGCTCATGGGTTTCACCGAAGTGGTAAACGTCTGAGACCTGGATCACTTCGGGCTTTCCTCCCACATTAAGCTGACACGTCGTGATATAACTGGAATACTGTTAAAAGCGGCGTGAAACCCAACTCACTCACTTACCAGATGACAGTGAGTTGTGTCCCTTTGGCATGCCTAAAAACATCCAGTTGACATCCAGTATGTAGGTACATCATGCGTATCATGTTTCAGGAGCGGAACATCGAGAGTGTGAAGAACGCCAAAGACGAGAGAGTGAGGGAGATCCGCAATGCCGTGGAGCTGATGATCGCCAGGCTGGAGTCCCAGCTGAAGAGCAAGCTGATGACACTTATGGGTAGGTCCGTCCTCCTCAGCAACACCTCTGTCGCCACAGCTTCTGTCAGTAATACCCTGACTCAAATGTTGTTGAGACCGTGGCCGTGGTCTCGTGGTAGACTGTCGGGGGTTCGGTCCCCAGTCCACTTATTGATATCTTGAGCATTGATCCACGCAGTTTGGATACTATGACATGCATCAACCTGGGCCGATTCTACCCCGGGTCTCCGCCAGGTGGTTTCTGTAAAGACACAGGGATGGCAACACTGAGGTATCAGTCAGCTACCTGGGCCCTCCTTGTTTATTAAAGTATGGAAGTTACAATTGTTGTAGCACAAAGATAGCTTCAATTAAGGTCTCAAATAACTGCTGAAACTTTGAGGTTCCGCAAAGACGGCTTTCAATCTACCTGGACTGCAGCCTGTCTGGGATGTTTAGTTCCAACTCTTCACTGTATGTACCTCTCCTCATGAGAAGCAGTTTTAACCAAAAATATGGGTGATTTTTCACTTTGTTGATGTCTTCACATACTCTTGTGAAGCACTTGATGTAGACCTGATCAGACTGAGCCAGCAGGTTCTCCCATTAACTTTACCCTTCACACTAAGCCATCTGGTTCACACCCTTCTCATGGGCGGTCGGGTAGCCTAGTGGTTAAAGTGTTTGCTCGTCACGCCGAAGACCCAACATGGGTACAATGTGTGAAGCCCATTTTTGGTGTCCTCCGCTGTGATATTGCTGGAATATTGCTAAAAGTGGCGTAAAACCAAACTCACTCACTCACTCACTCACTCACTCACTCACTCACTCACTCACTCACTCACTCACTCACTCACTCACTCACTCACTCACTCACTCACTCACTCACGCACTCACTCACACCCTTCTCTTCTACAGGTCAGAGGAACCAGCTGTCCCAGGAGACAGAGATGCTGGAGTCGGTCATCCAGAAGGTCAACCACAAGCTCACCATTAGCAGCAAGAGTGAACTCATCCTGGAGACGAAGGAGTTGCTGGAGCTCTTCCGTCACGTCCATCGCCGGCCCATGGGGTCCTTCGTCACTGCCCCTGTACCTGCAGACTTCACCAGGTGAGTCTTGTCACGTCCATTGTCGGCCCATGGGGTCCTTCGTCACTGCTCCTCTATCTGCAGACTTCACCAGGTGACCCTCATTAACACATAGGTTCCACTGTTTTAACAAATCTACAATGAACTGTGGATTAACTGCTGTTGAATGCTGTTGAATGCTGTTGAATGTTGTTGAATGCTGCTGTGTAAACCACGTCCAAGATGAGGCACTGCTTCTGGAGGCAAGATTCAGTTATCTGCATGAGTCTGACATCCTCATCACTGAGATGCCTCTGTGGTCTAGTGGTATAGCATCCGCATGGAGAGCAGAATCTCCAGGGTTCGATTCCCGGACGCATCATACCAAAGGAAGTTAAAAGATGGTACTTGTTGTTATCCTGTCTGGCACTCGGCATTAAGGGGCTTAAACAAGAACTGGTTAGACTGGAGTCTGTGACTGAGTGGGGTATTCATGTTAAACTGCAGCATGGTATCTCAGTGGGCTAGCATTATAATTCGGCATCAGTCCAGACTAGTACAAGCAGCCACACACACACACACACATATACACGTGCATACACATCGCTATATCAGTGCAATAATCTTGGACGCGACATTAAACCCATTTCACCTCACCTCACCTCCTCATTCCTGTTTCAGTGAGATTGTCCCCCAGTACGACACCAGCACATTTGCCATGAAGAACTTCAGCGTGTTGCGACAGCGAGCTGACCCCTTCTACAGCCCCCCTCTCAATGTGTCGGGGCTCAGCTGGAGGCTCAAGGTCTATCCGGTAGGTTGTTGTCTCAAAACCGATTCCATCCACGTGCATATAAACATTTGTTAATGGGGAAATATTTAAATTGGTTGGTTGGTTTGTTGTTTAACGCCACACTCAGCAATATTCCAGCTTTATGACGGCGGTCTGTAAATAATCGAGCCTGGACCAGACAATCCAGTGATTGACATCATGAGCATCGATCCAAGCTATTGGGATTGATAACATGCATCAACCAAATCAGTGAGCCTGACCACCCGATCCCGTTAGGCGCCTATTACGACAAGCACAGTAGCCTTTTACGGCAGGCATGGAAATATTTAAGAATTACATGGACCTTCATAGAGTGAAGGCCAAATGTGGAGCTTGCAATATGCTATGGTCATGGGTTTAATCACTAGATTTGTCCTGGCTATGATTCTTGGTCTGTCAGCATCATGCTCATGGAATTCGAAGTGGTGAACATCTGAAACTTACATAATCAAGTCTGGACCAGACAATCCAGTGATTGACATCATGAGCATCGATCTATGCAATTGGGATATGATGACATGCATCAACCAAGTCTGCGAGTCTGACCACCCGATCCCGTTAGTTGACTCTTACGACAAGCATAAAATATATGGGCATATCTAAGTGATCATGTGACCAACCTCTCACCCAGTAGAAAAGCTGAATATCTCATGAACTCACAACAAACAAGCCTTGCCAGTGAGTTGCTCAGCCTTGTATGTATGTACATGTATGTATGTTGTATGCAGTACCTGGGGATAAGCACCCTGTAGTGGAATAGAAGCTGTATAGTATCTCTGTCTTTGTGTTTGTGCAGGATGGAAATGGTGTGGTGAGAGGGAACTACCTGTCTGTCTTTCTGGAGCTGTCTGCTGGCCTCCCGGAAACATCCAAGTGAGTGTACAGACAGGCATTCACCCGCTCGTTGGTTTTACGGCTACCTTAACTTCTCCATGATTGCTGTTGTATAAATAATATTCAGAAATAGGTTCTTTTTGTTGGCTGAATTCCTGAAGTCGAATACAACCTGGAAGTGAAGTCATCAAATCGACGCAGCCTGTGCCAAAAACTTTGACACTACTAGCCCAAACATAGTTCTTTGCATCGTTTTGAGGAGCTTTTTGTGTTACTCAGGGGTGAGAATCTTCTGTGGACCGCGATTTTCCCCGAATTTTAGTGGCCACAAATTTTTTAAATTGACCCCTGACCCCTCATAAACTCATATTATGGACCACGCTCCATTGAAAAGAAGTTTCAGCTGAAAAGGAAAATATCCATTCTCATCCCTGGTAACTAAATGTGTCTCCTTTGGCAAGTGACTTTTGTTCGAAATATTCCCCAATGAATTGGTACCCAGTAGGATGGTAATGTGACGGTTAGCATTCTAGCACCTCATATAACTTTCTTACTAAGGTATTCGGAGGCATTGGTGTTCTGTTTTGTCGTTGTGGTGCATATTGTGAGGTCACCTTGATCTATGATGACAGATACGAGTACAGAGTGGAGATGGTGCACCAGGCCTCTCGAGACTCCAGCAAGAACATTGTACGAGAGTTTGCTTCTGACTTTGAAGTTGGAGAGTGCTGGGGCTACAACCGATTCTTCCGTCTTGACCTGCTGGCCAGTGAGGGTTACCTCGACACGGAGAACGACACTCTCATCCTCCGCTTCCAGGTCCGACCTCCGACCTTCTACCAGAAGAGCAGAGACCAGCAGTGGTATGTGGACACCCTCTGTAGGAATAGGATTGTATGGATCAACTTCTTCATTGTTTGTTACAAATGTAACAGGGTAACTTTCCCCCTTCGTCAGTTCAAGGGGGCACGGGTGGCCCAGTCGCCGTGATTCGCTGTGCAGAGTTGCCTCCCTTGGGCACGCCAGAAACCTATGATTGTGGGTTCGAATCCCGGTTCGACCCGATTATGTTTCTAGGTTTGTCAGCACCATACCCGTGCTCGTGGGTTTCACCGAAGTGGTAAACGTCTGAGACCTGCATCACTTCAGGCTTTCCTCCCACATTAAGCTGACACGCAGCAATATAACTGGAATACTGTTAAAAGCGGCGTTAAACAAAACTCACTCACTCATTCGTCAGTTCAATACTGAGTAAGTGTATAGAGTTAAACAAACAGTCAAGTCCCGTTAATTCGACATTGTTTGTTGCATATGTTTATGTCGGATTAACAAGTATTTGGGATAAACGAAATTAGGTAGTATCAACGTTCGTGATTGTAGATAACGATTCAAACACGTAATAAAAAAATAGAAAAGTGGAAATATTCATATTGTTATGTTACATTGTTAAGCAAGTTTACCTCTGCAGCCTGGTTCAAGACTGGTTATTTTCTGGCATTGATGTCTTCTGTTTTCTCAGGTCACTAACTATTCCAGAATGTTCATAATATCACTTCTTCTATTGAAACAATGTGGTGTTTTGTGAAGTGTACTACAGAACTCCCTCTCCCCCTCCCCAGGTACATCAGTCAGCTGGAGGTGGCCGGGTCCCAGTACATACAGCAGATCAACGACCTCAAGGAGGTACACGCATGTCTCAGTGCCGTCCACTCTCAGGCTTAAACAAATAAAAGAATTGGTTCTCAGACAGTTTTTTTATAAAGGAAATAAAAATTAAACATGCAACATTCTTAATGATGACGTGGGCTGTGCCTGAGAACCAAGACTATTATTTTTTTTTAGCCTTAAGGACGACCATTTGATTTTCTGGGGAAGGGTTGGAAGGCTGGAGAGTTTTGTTACAGTCCTCAAGAACTTTCAGTTTGTGCGGAACATTCCACATTTTCTTGAAAAATCCTTCTTCTTTTGAATAAAAGAGTATCTTCAGATTGTATTTAATATACCTATTGACAAAATTGCGTTAAATCTCAACCTGTGTAAATGCCCCTGTTTGCATGTGTCCTTGATATTTGGTTAATATTTTTGAATTTGATCAAATCCAATGCTAATGTTGCACTGAAGTACTTTGTCAATATTCAGACTACTGTCATGTCCTCAACCAAAGATATGGGCCCCTTTTTTCAGCGACTCCTGTTGGAAATGTCGAGAAACTCCACTGGGAAGAAAACTGGCAATGCAGGTACGGTCTATTTGTTAAGGCTGATTAAACATGCCGTAATACTTTGATAAAACACACAACACTAAAGGATTCCAAGGACAGATATATCTCAGGATTCCTGTGACACATAGATCACAGGATTCCAGGGACACATAGATCACAGGATTCCTGCAACACATAGATCTCAGGATTCCTGTGACACATAGATCTCAGGATTCCAGGGACAGATAGATCTCAGGATTCCAGGGACACATAGATCTCAGGATTCCAGTGACACAAAGATCTCAGGATTCCTGCGACACATAGATCTCAGGATTAGATCTCAGGATTCCAGTGACACATAGATCTCAGGATTCCTGTGACACATAGATCTCAGGATTCCAGGGACAGATAGATCTCAGGATTCCAGGGACACATAGATCTCAGGATTCCAGTGACACAAAGATCTCAGGATTCCTGCGACACATAGATCTCAGGATTCGATCTCAGGATTCCAGTGACACATAGATCTCAGGATTCCTGTGACACATAGATCTCAGGATTCCAGGGACAGATAGATCTCAGGATTCCAGGGACACATAGATCTCAGGATTCCAGGGACACATAGATCTCAGGATTCCAGTGACACAAAGATCTCAGGATTCCTGCGACACATAGATCTCAGGATTAGATCTCAGGATTCCAGGGACACATAGATCTCAGGATTCCTGTGACACATAGATCTCAGGATTCCAGGGACACATAGATCACAGGATTCCTGTGACACATAGATCTCAGGATTCCAAGGTCACATAGATCTCAGGATTCCAGGGACACATAGATCTCAGGATTCCAGGGACACATAGATCTCAGGATTCCAGGGACACATTGATCTCAGGATTCCAGGGACACATAGATCTCAGGATTCCAGGGACACATAGATCTCAGGATTCCTGCTGTCTGAAGTGAGGGCACTGTGGAATGTGGGACTCAGTTGATTGTGTGTCATCAACTCTGTTATCTACAGCAGTTGCAATATATCTGGAATATTGCTACACTGCAGTGTAAAAAGCATACATTCAAATAAAACAAGACATTTAACAAGACGTTAATCATGGAATCCAAGATTACTTGTAAACACCACTGTGCAGTCTGGTTTAGATTAGGTCTTCAGCAACCCATGCTTGTCGTAATAGGTGATTACAGGATTGGGTGGTCAGGCTCGCTGACTTTGACGTTAAACAACAAACAAACAAACAAACATACTTATGTATATTAAGATAAGGAGCAGTGGATAGCCTAGTGGATAAAGTGTTGGCTTCTCAAATCAAATCAAATTAGAAGCCCGTTCTTGATGTCTGAAACCATGATGTGATTGGAATAATGCTTGAAGCATTGTAAAACCTCACTCACTCACACACTATGAATTTGTTCAGTTTATTGTCAGTTTGTTTACGTAACTGAAAGTGGTAAAGTTGAAGTTGAACTGTGCCTGTTCTGTTTGTAGAGTCTCCCCTGATGATCTCCCAGTCTGACAGTCCCCTCCCCCACCACCCGGTGCTCCACCCCAAGCCACGACACCCCCGCCCCACCGCGGAGATGGATGTGGAGCAGACCGACCTGGAACACGAGGAGGAGTCCGACACAGACTCCACAGAGTCTAATGAGGTAACAGCATGTGTGTCTCCAAATAGTATTACTTGGAGGAGGGGGAGAGGGAAGCGGGACACTAATTCTATAGCTTAAACATCAGACCCTTTTTTATATACAGTTCAAAACAGCCACAGAATAGACAGCTCGATACTTTTGCTCTCGCATCAGAAAGAAAGTATACACATATACAAGAACATATGCACTGCCACTAGGGCTGGAATATTGCTTACTGGCGTAAAATCAGCATTTATTGTCAAATAATTTGTTCTATTACAAGCTGCCTCGATGGTGCTTAGCATTGAGGGGATATAGCTTATACTGGGAAGCTCGGCGTCAGTATACTGAATCTGAGTAGGGTGTCTATGTTAAACTGCTGAAGCAGGTCTAACTGTATAAGACTGGTATTAGTCTAGACAAGTACAAGCAGCCAGACACACAGGTGCAGGGACATCGTTATTTAGTCTTGAATGTGACGTTAAGCCCCATTTCTCAACTGATTTCATTTGTGCATACAGGGGTTGATTTAACTGCTGGCCCGTTGGTCCATGGTCAGTTAAAATTATGAAAGGCTTGCTGAAACACAAGGTAGATGGCCCATCTGGCTAGTCGGATGAGGTTGTGTGAATGGTTAACTCAAAGATCATCTCGGTAGAATGACACAACCAATGGCCATTTTGTAATGTCCTTTACGACATCTTTTTTTGCTCATAAAATCGCCACAAAATGAGGCAAATGGAAGCCAAGATTTCATCTCAGAGTGCAAGAAATGATGTTTTAGGGGTGAGGAGTTCTAAAGTTTTTGGAGACCCCCTGGTCAATATTTAGTTTTGGGCCAGTTAGTTTGGAGCAGGGCCAGTAGCTTTTGAAAGGAGCAAGCCCTGCCGGCTACGTACAAGTTTGTTGTTAAATCTACCCCTGTGCATATTATCAGCTCTGAAGGTAATATTGATGTGACTAATATTTTCTCCAGGGACTGAGTGAAGGTGATATTGATGATCTGGATGACATCCACGAAGAAAGTGAGGCTGACGGGGGCCAGGAGATAGCTGTTGACAACAGCAACGATGAGAACGACATCGACGAGGAAACCATGTGAGTATCAAAGCTGGCTTACTTATTTGGATCATTGTAATCGTATCCCAATTGCGTGGATTGATGCTCATGATATCAATCACTAGATTGTCTGGTCAAGACTCTGTCATATAGCTGGAATATTGCTGAGTGAAGTGTTAAACAACAAACAAACAAACAAACAAACAAAACGTTGCCAAGTCATTAATGAAACAATAACAGTGATGTTTAGACCTGAGAAACTGATATTGTGTGTGTCTTGACAGGTCTGTTGACAATGATGTTGAAAAACCGTGACATTGTGTGTGTCTTGAAAGGTCTGTTGACAATGATGTTGAGAAACTGTGACATTGTGTGTGTCTTGACAGGTCTGTTGACAATGATGTTGAGAAACTGTGACATTGTGTGTGTCTTGACAGGTCTGTTGACAATGATGTTGAGAAACTGTGACATAGTGTGTGTCTTGACAGGTCTGTTGACAATGATGTTGAGAAACTGTGACATTGTGTGTGTCTTGACAGGTCTGTTGACAATGATGTTGAGAAACCGTGACCATGGTGACATTGTGTGTGTCTTGACAGGTCTGTTGACAATGATGTTGAGAAACCGTGACATTGTGTGTGTCTTGACAGGTCTGTTGACAATGATGTTGAGAAACTGATATTGTGTGTGTCTTGACAGGTCTGTTGACAATGATGTTGAGAAACCGTGACATTGTGTGTGTCTTGACAGGTCTGTTGACAATGATGTTGAGAAACTGTGACATAGTGTGTGTCTTGACAGGTCTGTTGACAATGATGTTGAGAAACTGATATTGTGTGTGTCTTGACAGGTCTGTATACAATGATGTTGAGAAACCGTGACATTGTGTGTATCTTCACAGTTCTGTGACAATGATGTTGAGAAACCGTGACATTGTGTGTATCTTCACAGTTCTGTGACAATGATGTTGAGAAACCGTGACAATGATGTTGAGAAACCGTGACATTGTGTGTGTCTTGACAGGTCTGTTGACAATGATGTTGAAATCTGGGAGGAGAATGACCTTGACCGCCTCGGCGCCTCCGCCGCTGTCCTCAAGTGTACAAACAACCTGTCTGGACCGGACAAGTGAGTAACAATAGGATGCTGAAGTGATTTGTGTACTGTGTTAAACAGTATTTGACTTTTGTTTCTGTCTAAGTGCAAGCAAACATAGCAAAACAAACAGTCAATCTTCTGCACCTCATGTGTATGTTTAAAGACCTATCGTACTTATAGTCGTGTGCAAAGTCTGATTGGTTTGTCAAGCGTTGATTGATGGGTTGGATGACTCTCCATGCTGGTTTCAAAAAGGGGTAGAGGGATGGGGGGTGGGGAGGAGGAGGAAAATCTGTTACATGTATTGGTTTGGGTGGGGGTCAGCAAGATATGATTAATTCCTGAGAGACCAATCCCACCTACACCCCACACCCCACAACCCCGATCCACAACTCCCAATCCACAGTGATCAATATTTAATTCCTGAGACCAATCTTTCCCCACCCCCCACCCCTCATTCCCAACTCTCAATCCACAATGACCAATATTTAATTCCTGAGACCAATCTTTCCCCACTTCCCACCCTCCACCCCCAATTCCCAACTCCCAATCCACAACTCCCAATCCACAATGACCAATATTTAATTCCTGAGACCAATCTTTCCCCACCTCCCACCCCCCACCCCTCATTCCCAACTCCCAATCCACAATGATCAATATTTAATTCCTGAGACCAATCTTTCCCCACCTCCCACCCCCCACCCCTCATTCCCAACTCCCAATCCACAATGATCAATATCTAATTCCTGAGACCAATCTTTTCCCACCCCCACACCCAACTCCCAATCCACAATGACATATTTTTAATTCCTGAGACCAATCTTTCCCCAGCCCCCTACCCCCAACTCCCCGTCCACAATGACCAATATGACTAGCTTTTTCCACCAAGTTAGATACAAGCTGAAGAAAAAGCCAGTGTGTGTACTATCCATAGCAATGTAAACTGTAGATACCCTTGATACTATGTGTGGTGCAGAGTTACCAATGGTCAACATTAACCCTCACCTCTGTGACTTTAATCATGAGATCAAAGGGAGACAACTCATCTTCAACCGTCTCCCCTTGGTCTATGGTGTGTGCATAGCCAGGTTTCTCTGAAGGATGCCTCTTCCCTCTGATTCCAGGAAACAAGATGATGAAGCAGTATTACTACAGTTTTTAGAAAGCCACACAACAGACTTGGACAGATGGGGCCTGTCCTCCATGTCTGCATCAGGGAGTTCAGGTGAGACTTGTTACATCAGTCACCCACGAAGATCCGGGGTGGAATATGTCTTCAGCAACCCATGCTTGCCGTAAAAGACTACTATGCTTGTCGTAAGAGGCGACTAACGGGATCGGGTGGTCAGGCTTGCTGACTTGGTTGATGCATTTCATCAAATCCCAATTGCGTGGATCGATGCTCATGATATCAATCACTAGATTGTCTGGTTATTTACAGACCCCCGTCATATAGCTTGAATATTGCTGAGTGCGGCGTTAAACCAACAAACCAATGTTACATCAGTCACCTGACATTTCTCACTGTTAACATGACCGCCTCCATGGCCCAGTGGATAGAGTGTCTGCCCGGGGAGTGGAGAGTTGGTGGTTCAATATCTTGCAGCACCGTACAAAAGACTTTTCAGGGTTAGAACTGAACTCAAAAGCTTTTCTGGGCGGGGTAAAGATAAAATGCCTTTGTAATGTTAAGACAATGGGGAAATGTGGACATTTGTACTTGCCTGCGGGAATTTGTACTAGCCCCAGGCTAGCGGGCTAACGTTAAGTTCTAACCCTGCTTTAAAAGATGGTACTTGTTGTTACCCTGTCTGTCGCTTGGCATTAAGGGGCTAAAACAAGGACTGGTCAGCTCGGAATCAGTATACTGTGTTTGAGTGGAGTATCCATGTTAAATTGTGGCATGGTATCTCAGTGGGGTAGCACTATAAATCTGGCAATTGCATTTCATTATACGTCAATGGAATGGATCGTTTCTCATGGTATCAAAAGCACTGGTTTGTCTGATCCAGACTTTATTATTTACAAGCCATCATCATATGGCTGGAGGACCGCCTCCGTGGTCTTGTGGTAGAGCATCCGCCCGGAGAGCGGAAGGTCCAGGGTTCGATCCCGGGCCGTGTCATACAAAAAGACGTTAAAAGATTGTACTTGTTGTTACCCTGTCTGGCGCTCGGCATTAAGGGGCTAAAACAAGGACTGGTCGGCTCGGAGTCAGTATACTGTGTCTGAGTGGGGTATTCATGTTAAACTGCGGCATGGTATCTCAGTGAGCTAGCACTATAAATCGGCATCAGTCCTAGTACAAGCAGCCACACACACACATACACGTGCATGCACGTCGCTATATAAGTGCAATAATCTTGGACGCGACGTTAAACCCAATTTCACCTCACCTCACACCTCATATGGCTGGAACATTGTTTAGTGCACATTTCATAATGAACAGGGGTGGCCTAGGCGTCTAAGGCGCTGCAATTGGCTGCGCTGTTGCATCCTTTAGGCGTGCCAGAAACCGATGATCATGGGTTTGAATCCCGGTTTACCCCGATTATGTTTCTAGGTTTGTCAGCACCATACCCGTGCTCATGGGTTACACCAAAGTAGTAAATGTCTAAGACCTGTAACACTTCGGGCTTTCCTCCCACAGTAAGCCAACACGCAACTGGAATACTGTTCAAAGCAGCATTAAGCCCAACTCTTTTGGCTTGCTGCTAATGCAATATCATGACCAATTTTTAAAAGAATCTTAAGGACATTTAATAGAATTATATGTCTCGATATGTCTGGAATGATATTAAGGCCTAGCTCTCAACAAATTGACTCACTCCCTCCCTCCGGACAGATGGACTAGCAGACAGCCCCCGGTCAGTGCAGAGCCTCCTGGAGGGAATCCAGGCCGAGTGGAACCTGACCAATCTGGCCAAGGATGAGAACAAGAACAAGGGCAGCCGTAAGGACAAGCAGCCCTTGCTGAGGGACTCCACCCCCACCACGGACGACATGCTGGAGCACATCCACGCCCGGTTCTCCGAGCTCGCCGCCACCACCATGGCCGTCGCCAACTCCGCTGTCACCAGTGAAACAGAAGCCAAGAAATACAGATCAGGTTGGTGCTTGTTACACAGGATGAATAAATCAGATTGTTCAGCCCTTATCCCGAACGCTTTTAGAATGTCAGTGTCTAAATTATTCTGAGCGGGTGTAAACAATTATGAAGCATTATTCCACAGGTGGTTGTCCCTGTGTTGAAGCATACTGCATGAATGCTTCAACTAGTCCGTTAGAATCAGTTTCATTCTTGTTAAAAAAATCATTGTATTTGTTTGATAGAATTAGCAAGAGTTTCAATCTCCAGATGCAACCATGATTGTATTTTCTGTGATGTATTTGAAGTGGTAGTGGGGTAGCCTAGCGTTTAAAGTGTTCGCTTATCACGCCGTAGACCCGGGTTTGACTCCCCACATGGGTACAATGTGTGAAACCCATTTCTTGTGTCCCCCGCCATGATATTGCTGGAATACTGCTAAAAGCAATGTAAGACCATACTCACTCACTAACTTGTTGTAGTCATGAATTCTACCCATGTGGGGATTTGAAGATAGAATAGTCGTAAGAGACAACTAATTTGATTGGGTGTTCACACTCTGTGACTTGGTTGATAATGAGTCATAGTACGGGATGTTGCTTATAATTTATCCTCCAAAACTGGCTCCCACAGGAGATATTGCTTGGATGAGATCAAGCGATATCTACACTGTAGATATCTCTGCAATGAAATTACATCACAATGCTTTGCAGACCATTGTGAGGTCATTGGTTACCATGACGTCACAATCAAATGACATTACTGATGGCTCTGCTACTGAAGCTGTTAGCAGTAGTTTTTACACTGAAGACACTGCTAATTACTGTCTACAAATTGAAAAAGTTAGAAGAATGATGTTTGATGATAAATAAAATGTCACCCTCGTGTCTTTTGATGTCAAATATATCAACACTCGTTGATAAAAGTGGCAAAAATCCTCGGCAAGCCTCGGACTCGTGTTGATATATTTGACATCAAAAGACACTCGGGTGAGATTCTCTATATCTACGAACGACTGGGCCATTGCCAATACTGTCTGCATCTGATGTGTCTGGTCCTGATTTGCTTATTCACAGGTTGGTGTGATATAGATTAAATATGGCTTATTGCCAGGAGTGAGTGAGTGAGTGAGTGAGTGATTGAGTTTGGTTTTATGCAGCTGTGAACAGTATTTCATTTATGTCAGCTGTGAGAATGTGGGAGGAAAGTCTGAAGTGATGCAGATCTTCGACATTTACCCCTTTGGTGAAACCCAAAAGCAGGGATACAAACCTGGAAATATGATCAGATCAGGTATCGGGTACATCTAAGGGATGCAACTCTGTACAGCAAATAGTAGCTTCTTAGACCACTGGGCCTTCTGTGTCCTTCTCACTACTCTGAGCTAACACAGTCCACACAATTGTGCTTCAGCCAAGAAGAGCAAGAACCCATTGAATGCTATTGTGCAGCCACTGCGGAACTCCTTGGACGAGAAGACTGTGTCCCGGCCGGACTGTGGGAGCAGCGTCTCTGACAAGAAGGAGAAGAAGGAAGACTCCCGCGTGGGTTCAGCCGTAGATCTCACCACCCCTGCCGTCACCCACGGTGCGTCACTAGATGCTGTCATATTTCTTGCTGACATATCGGGTCTTTATCTAGACCTGCTCCAAGGCAGGTTTGCAGCAAATGTCCATAAAGACTCCCAAATTGGAATTAGAAATTTACCAATTCCTGTTATATAGTAATAATTATTATAATGGCTTTGTAGAAGTGCCTTGTGTTTTGATGACAGATAATGAGTATAATTACTTTTTTTTATCAAATTACCTGTCTAGGGCACTTAATCCAAGATGAATCCCTGTGTACAAGAAACATGGAGTATTACTATACAAGTTTATAAAACAGTAATATGTTTTTCTAGAGTGTTGGGAAACATTATAAGTGGGAGGAAACTATTTAAGTGTAAGGTAACAATTTAAGTGTGAGGTAACTATTTAAGTGTGAGGTAGCAATTTAAGTGTGAGGTAACAATTTAAGTGTGAGGTAACTATTTAAGTGTGAGGTAGCAATTTAAGTGTGAGGTAGCTATTTAAGTGTGAGGTAACTATTTACGTGTGAGGTAGCAATTTAAGTGTGAGGTAACTATTTAAGTGTGAGGTAGCAATTTAAGTGTGAGGTAGCAATTTAAGTGTGAGATAACTATTTAAGTGTGAGGTAACAATTTAAGTGTGAGGTAGCTACTTAAGTGTGAGGTATCTACTTAAGTGTGAGGTAACAATTTAAGTGTCAGGTAACTATTCAAGTGTGTAGTAACAATTTAAGTGTGAGGTAACAATTTAAGTGTGAGATAACTATTCAAGTGTGTAGTAACAATTTAAGTGTGAGATAACTATTTAAGTGTGAGGTAACAATTCAAGTGTGAGATAACTACTTAAGTGTGAGGTAACAATTTAAGTGTGAGATAAAGACTTAAGTGTGAGGTAACTATTTAAGTGTCAGGTAACAATTAAAGTTTGAGATAACTATTAAGTGTAAGGTAACTACTTAAGTGTGAGGTAACTATTTAAGTGTCAGGTAATAATTTAAGTGTCAGGTAACTATTTAAGAGTGAGATAACTATTTAAGAGTGAGATAACAATTTAAGAGTGAGATAACTATTTAAGTGTGAGATAACAATTTAAGTGTGAGGTAACTATTTAAGTGTCAGGTAACTATTTAAGTTTGAGGTAACTATTTAAGTGCGAGGTAACTACTTAAGTGTGAGGTAACTAGTTAAGTGTGAGGTAACAATTTAAGTGTGAGGTAACTACTTAAGTGTGAGATAACTATTTAAGTTTGAGATAACAATTTAAGTGTGAGGTAACTACTTAAGTGTGAGGTAACAATTTAAATGTGAGATAACTATTTAAGTGTGAGATAACAATTTAAGTGTGAGGTAACTACTTTAAGTGTGAGATAACTGTTTAAATGTGAGGTAACAATTTAATTGTCAGGTAACTATTTAAGTGTCAGCTAACAATTTAAGTGTGAGGTGACCATGTAAGTGTGAGGACACCTTGTTAGAATATTCTGCTTTGGGGGATGACAACTGTCAGTGATGTCTACACACATAGGACATGAGTCTGAGGCAATGATTCCAATACTGAATACATGTATTGTGGGATATGGTGGAGGTGGTTCCTATTGTGGGAGGTGATTGCGATGGTTCATATTCCGGGAGGTGATTGAGGCTTTTTGTATGGTTGGAGGTGGTTGAGATAGTTCTTGTGTTTCCCAGATGAGCCCCTGTCGCTGAATCTGGCCGACTTCACCCTGGAAGAGAGTAACCTGCCTGACCTGTCTCTCTGCCTCGACCGAACTGGAGCCGCAAACACACGACCCAGGTAGAGAAGCCATGTCCAGTATCACATCACAGGCCACACAAGTGTCATGGTCTTCACCTTGAGGGGAGGAATAGGTCCCCATTACCTCCTGCTTCTCCTTAGACAAGACCGCCTCCGTGGTCTAGTGGTAGAGTGTCCGCCCGGAGAGTGGAAGGTCCGGGGTTTGATCCCCAGCCGTGTCATACCAAAAGACGTTAAAAGATGGAACTTGTTGTTACCCTGCCTGGCGCTCGGCATTAAGGGTCTAAAACAAGGACTGGTCGGCTCGGAGTCAGTATACTGTGTCTGAGTGGGGTATTCATGTTAAACTGTGTCATGGTATCTCAGTGGGCTAGCACTATTAATCGGCATCAGTCCGGACTAGTACACACACACACACACACACACACACACACACACACACACACACACACACACACACACACACACACACACACACACACACACACACACACACACACACACACACACACACACACACACACACACACACACACACACACACACACACACACAGTCGCTATATCAGTGCAATAATCTTCGGCGCGATGTTAAACCCAATTTCACCTCACCTCTTTAGAGAATTCATGGATTTCTTTTTCATTTTTTTAGTACAAACATAAGGCCTTTAATTGATGTCATGGATGTAGCAATAGATGTCACCACGTGCCACTTTGTCGTTTCTTCTCTATTAAGATGAAGTTGTGATGTAAATGAAATGCTGCTAAAAGCAGTATTAAACCCAACGCACTACCCTCCCCCCTCAACCCACGACCACGACCACGACCACGACCACACACCAACTGACTCATTTACCCAACCCTCCATACGCTCACTCACCCCGACACTCACCCATTCCCATACCCAAACAACTTCGCTCACTCCCTCCCTCACTCACTCACTCACTACCTCACTCACTCACTCACTCACTCACTCACTCACTCACTCAACCACTCACTCACTCACTCATTCACTCACTCACTCACTCACTCACTCACTCAACCACTCACTCACTCAACCACTCACCCATCCACCCACTCAACCACTCACGCACGCACTCACTCACTCACTCACTCAACCACTCACTCAACCACTCACTCAACCACTCAACCACTCACTCAACCACTCACTCAACAACTCACTCAACAACTCACTCAACCACTAAACCACTCACTCAACCACTCACTCAACCACTCAACCACTCAACCACTCACTCAATCACTCACTCAACAACTCATTCAGCCACTAAACCACTCACTCAACCACTCACTGAACTACTAAACCACTCACTCAACCACTCACTCAACCACTCACTCAACAACTCACTCAACAACTCACTCAACCACTAAACCACTCACTCAACCACTCACTCAACCACTCAACCACTCACTCAACCACTCAACCACTCACTCAACCACTCAACCACTCAACCACTCACCCGCCCACCCAACCCGGTGAGTAACGGCCATACATCTGTTACAGTAAACCCGAGGCTGAGAAGGGGGACAAGAGGAAGACAGCGCCAATCAAGGGGATCTCGAGTACCAAAGACACAGGTAATCAATGTGCTGATTGACTGTCCTAACAGCCAGTGGGTAGACTGTAGTGTTGTCAAATGCAGAGTATCAATGCCATTTGATTGTTAAACCAAGAAATTATTTATGATTTTGTTTCCATAATCCGAAACATAATAGGCCATGCCCCCTAATGGACTACTGTTTCCTGGTTGGATGAAAATAGAATGGGCGGGGCTTGTTTTGCATTATTACGTTCAACGTTGTCACTGATTTTGTATTGTCTGCACTAGGCTGGTATTTTGGAGTTAGGTTTTGGCTGGACTAACAAGTCTACGCATGGTCCAATCAAAATTGCTTAACGAAATTGACATCTGGTTCGTAAATTGTCGTGGAGATTTAGGTCGATTGCAGGATTTGCAAAGCATTTGCACCGCCAACTTGGCATCAACAGATATTTACCAAATCTTTTCATGTTTTAATCAAGGTGCTCACGTGATTTGATGCACTTCACTGTGTAAGACACGTTTTATGACAATATAGGTCTTGATTATCGATAAGATCGACTTGACTTGGTGCCGCCATTTTGTTTGAAGCAATTTGAGAGTAGGAATCTGATTGGTCAAAAGGAGAGGCATAGAAGGGACATAACTCTTAATAGTACTGGTGGCACTACGATCGAGCCCAGAAATTCCAGCCTAGTTCGGCAAGGGTGGAAACCAGACTTTCACAGTTAATTGCCTTGCCTCAGGAAGATGTATTGTCTGCGGCATGGATCACTCCACACAGTATTACTGACTTTTCTGGTTCGTTACTTACCCATTGGTTCCAACTCTCAGGGGTAGCCTGGTTGTTTAGGTGTTTTCTCCCCATGATGGGACCCTGGGTTCAATTCCCCACAGGTACCATGTGTGGTGTCCTCTGCTATCATGTTGTTTAAGGGGCGGTCGGGTAGCCTAGTGGTTAAAACGTTCGCTCGTCACGCCGAACACCGGGGTTCGATCCCCATCATGGGTACAATGTGTAAAGCCCATTTCTGGTGTCCCCCGTCGTGATATTGCCAGAATACTGCTAAAAGTGGCGTAAAACCATACTCACTCACTCATATTGTTTAAATATTGCTAAAAGTGGCGTAAAAGGTAACTCACTCCAATCCCGAGAGTATGTAACAAAGACCACTAGGGGTGTCATGATAAATCAAAATATCGATATATTGCTATTGGTAAGCACTTGAAGTCAATAAATCAATTGTTAGATCAGTTTCCAATCAATAGTATCGATTTCAGTTAGGAATATCGATAGTTTCAATTGTATTTACCATATCAATAAAATACATGCAATGCTGTTCAGATTTGTTTTCTTTTCATCATGAGTGGTAGTAATTTACACATGGTAATGTGGAAGTTTCTTTTTCTTAAATTATTAGGGTAAAGAAAAAACAAATCAGTCATATCTCAAACTTTACTTTCTATTTGTTGTTATGGTTATCCCATTCAAAGGAAACTTCAGTTCCAAGGTTTAATTCAACTCTATAATCCATCTAAAATGATACACTGAAAACTATCGATATTTATCGCAATAGTTGCTTGCAATATCAGTAGTTATCGCAATAGTTTCTTTCAATATCAATAGTTATCGCAATAGTGATTTCCAGACCAATAGTCACCCCAAATGGGTACCATGTGTTTAGTCCATGTGTGTTGCCCTCCGCTATCATATTGTTTAAATATTGATAAAAGAGGTGTAAAAGGTTATTGCTCCAATCCTGAGAGTATGTCACAAAGACCACTAGGGGTGTCACGATAAATCAAAATATCGATATATTGCTATTGGTAAGCACTTGAAGTCAATAAATCGATTGTAAGATCAGTTTCGATTTCAGTTAGGAATATCGATAGTTTTGATTGTATTTACAATATCTAAAATGATACACTGAAAACTATCGATATTTACCGCAATAGTTGCTTGCAATATCAATAGTTATCGCAATAGTGATTTCCAATGTCAATAGTTATCTCAATAGTGATTTCCTGACCAATAGTGATTTCCTGACCAATAGTCACCCCTAAAGACCACACAGTTGGCTTATGGATTAAGAGTTCTTGCTCTTGCAATTTGAAGTCACAAGCTCCTTCCCAGCGCGTGACACCTTCGTTACACTCTCGGTAACATCGCGGCCACCAGTGTGGGCGCGGCCATTACAATAATCTTGAAATTTGCCCTCTAACCCCAAATGTAGTAACGTTGATACTTTTGTTTATGTCTTTGGGAATGCCATCATATTTCAATTTGAAAAGGTTTACGACTGACCATGTTTTCCAGATAAATTTACTTTGTTGTTTTAATAATCACATTGGTTTGAGATTGCAGACTAACGGAAAATCAACCAACTTCTCCCTTACATTCTTACTATATCAATAACACGATAGTTTTAAAGAAACAGAAATTCAAATTGACAAATGAATAAAGTAATTTAGCAGCGGTAAGTGTATTTGGCGTCATGACAGTCGTCACTTGTTTGTCAACATAACGGTCATTCGGTTGCGAGTTCAACTCCAAGCATGGTTGGGGCCACCTATTCACAGTTTTGACTGGTCGCAGCGATAGTATAGAGAGCTCCGCGAACGGGCTATCGCTGTGAGGAGCTTGTTGAAGTCAGAAGAAGTTGAAATCCATGTCAACCCAGGCTTCATTGACACAACAGCTTCCGCATACCACTTACAGATATCGTAGGGAGACCCGAGAAGAACCGGGCTAGAATTGGTCTTCAGCAACCCATGCTTGTCATCAGAGGCAACTAACGGAATCAGATGGTCAGGTTCGCTGACTTGCTTGATGCATGTCATTGTATTCCAATTGCGTAAATCGATGCTCATGATGTCAATCACTGGATTGTCTGGTCCAGGCTTGATTATTTACAGACTTCCGACATATTGCTTGAATATTGTTGGGAGTGCATTAAGCAACAATAAACAAACAATGATATGATATGGAATGATTTCAACGTTTCAGTGTCCAGTCACAACTGGTCCTTCAACTACCTGAAGAGTAAGATGGAGAAGATGGACAACTCCGCCACCTCGCCGGACGACAATACTCCGGACCATCTAGACGGAGCCAGCAACTCTGGTCGCACCTCACCCAACGGGAACTCATCCGGGGGAGTAGGGCCACAAGTAGAGTTTAGTACACAGAACGTCAGCAAAGACAGGTGAGTGACTGGAGCGTTTCATACTGTACAGTCAAACTGTTCTTGGAGAAACCATCCCATTACAGAAAAATTGAAAACAATTCCGTGGGATTTGATTGGCTCACCAAGTTAGATATTTTTTTGTTACTTCAATTATTTTCTCATAATTACAATTATTTATTTGGGTTTTTAATTTTTTTTTCAAAAACTCAAAATTTAGAATTTGTTCTCATTACTTCGAATATTTGCTCGTAATTTCAATTACTTTTCGGATTTTTTACTTATCCTGCATTACTCCTTAATGCATTCACTGCTTACCTTACGACAACAAAAAGACTGCGCACAGTGATCGTCTTGGGTGAAGAAATAAAGTCCCACTCCTGTTTTTTGTATGGACCATCGCTGCTGTCATGTGACCTTGATGACAAGTAACCTTCCTCACATCGATGCCTGTCACGCTGCAGCCAGGACGTTTCTCAGCGGAGCTCTTCAAGTTGGCTAATTTTAGACCTTCTGCTTTGGATATAATTCTAGATTTTGTCTGTAATGGGTGATATATTCTTTTTGTATTGGGGGCGGTCGGGTAGCCTAGTGGTTAAAGCGTTCGCTCGTCATGCCGAAGACCCGGGTTCGATTCCCGACATGGGTACAATGTGTGAAGCCCATTTCTGGTGTCCCCCGCCGTGATATTGCTGGAATATTGCCAAAAGCAGCGTAAAACCATACTCACTCACTCACTCACTTTTCGTATTACTTTCGCCAAGTTGTGTAGTTTTATGTGGGTTATTTAGGTGTAAAAAGACTTGTCTTTTTTCCCCAACACACACACATCTTGTTTCCTGCCATTTTGAATTTGTTACAATCGTTTGCCTGCAAAGGTAGTTAAATTATTTACAATTCTCAGCTACGTATGTATAACATATTCATGTGTTTTTAAATACGAGTAGCTTTGGCGTTACATTGAGTTTGCATGTATCAATAATATGTATCCACTTTCAACTCATAAAAAATCTGCCAAAAGAATAGTATGCAATCTTCCAACTCCGTTTTATCGACAATTCTTTATTTTGCGCAACTTATGTTTGTGAGTTGTACTAATTGTCGTGGATAAAATCTTTTGAGATACTCATCCACGTTGTTTGGCATGCACGCAGATTTGCTCTCCAAACTCTAAATGGAATTGTTTGTTTAACTCTCTCTCCAGCGAGTTTTGCAATCTGTAGACAGGCTACTCACAAATGTATTTTGAAGCAAGGAGTGGCGAGAAAGATGTCACAATCACTAGAGGTTAGTGACGGACATGCTTCTGTCATTACTACGCTGCCGTTATTTTCGGTGGCTAATATGGCTCCCGTCATTGTGACTGCCGACGTACATCATCCGCACAAATCAACAATACTGGATCCTATTGTGAGCATCGTAACTGCTCCTAATTTTCAGGTGCCTGGGACATCCAGATCTACAATTCCTGCAATGTCGGCGTGCACATCTCAAGACGCCTTGATGGGGGTAGCGCAGGCTTTAGCCATGATCGAGTCATCACAAATGAGCATTGCACCTCATAGACCTGTGCCGAGTGCAGCACCTCCCTTCCACCCAAGCCCCTATGTACCAGACGCTTGCGTCAGCTACAACTATGGCACAAGTGTTAGCGCCAATACGGCGCCAACGTATACCAATCTAATGGGCGTTCTGGTACAGTGCATACATCGCTGGGCAGCGCTAGTACGCCAGCACGTAGGGGGACATCAGCACGTAGGGGGACATCAGCACATGACTCCTTACCACCAGGCAGTTTATCAAACCCTTCTGTAAGAGGAGGTACTACGCACCGGAGCAGAAGCCGATCGCCGTCTCGGGAAGTGCGTCAACATTGCTCTGACTTGTCGGACTTATCAAATGGCGAGGATGGCGATTCCTCTGTGGAATGGATCACGCATCTCGGCTTAGCGCAAGTACCCGATTGGGTAGCAGACCGTCTTGTCAGTGGCGCCCTCCCCTGGTAACAGGGCTGATAAAAGGGACACCATATGGTCACATCCTACCTCATTGCCGGTGGATCCGAGGTTGACAGACATGATTAGGTCATTGGACCAGGACTTCTCCAAGCTTACTCTTGCTCCATCAGTAAAGCCACCCAAGGTAGGAAGGATGATTTTCCTATCCATGTGGTGGTTGCAGACCAAGCTCATAGTTCGGATGAGAACATTCAAAGGATGACAGGCTCGGATTTGTGAAATCAGGCGTGTACTGAAACCTCTGTCAGCACCAACATCGTCAAGGCGTGCGGTGGATCAGGATCTATCAGAGGATAACCCTATCCGATTACATCATTTCCAAACTATGGTGAATTTCCAACAGCGTCAGATTGACCACAAAAGAAACCATCTTAAGACCGCTCTGGCGGAGATTACCGTCACACGCAGACTTGGTTGTTTAGCGCTTTCCAACTGGGACTCTGAGCTCAAGCACAGGCTGCGACATCAACCTTGGTCATCTACTTCCCTGTTTAATGAACAGATCGCAGACAAGCACGCCAAAGTTCCAAATGATGCTTGGGATGAGACTGCGCTCAAAGCTCTAGAGCACGTCTCTCATAGTCTATCCCTGCGGGCTGGCAGGTCAGGCAATTATAAGACTAGACGCGCGTCTCTCAAGGAAGGCCAAGACCAGGATTCCCTTCATGGGAAAGGGCGTAGCAGAGGCAACCTCGGGGTTCTTATCAATCCCGTCATGGTAAATACCAAGCCAGGGGAGGTGATGACAAGATGAAGGCCTCAGACAAGATGAGAATGATCCACAATCTCTCTGTGTTCAGCGAACGTTATCTGAAGCATCCACCTTATTACCACCTCACCACGTTGAGACTGCTCAGAACCAGCATCAATGCGTTCGATTCCTTGATTAGTCTCAACTTGCAGGATGCCTACCTGCATATACCTATCCAACCGATGCTAGTACGCCATCAGGAATTTACCAGACGGCTACTATAATCAACGAGGCGAAGTCAGAGTTTAACTCCATCTTATCGGCTCCAGTTCATAGGAGGCCTGTTCCAGACAGACCAGGATCTCCTATCAGTACCGAGGGACAGATGGCTAAAAGATTTTACGCCTTATGTCACTTGCTCTTCACCAACCAAGCATGCTTCACCAATGGCAAGTGTTGCTAGGGTTACTCACTTCAGCATGCAATGCAATCGATATCACCCGGGTCCGTTTTGAGCATGGGGTTGTGCTGGGCGTTTATAGCACAAATCAACTACCAGGACAACCGACTGTTCCTTCACCATCCCCCCAATATCGACTCTTGAGGACGTTGAAGGCATGCGAAGTTTTGGCCCTCTGGTAGTAACCCAGCAGGTTACCAACCCCCGACGCAAATAATGAACTCGCCCTATACAGAGCCAGTCTACTACCCCATGCAAGTCGCTGAGATTCGGCCAGTGGAAGAACATTAGACAACCTTTTTGTCAGGCTTTGGCTCTATGACGTAGTAAGTAAAGAATTAGCTGCCTAGCTGATATTTTTTTGATTACTAGACATGTATAGGGAACTTCTCTTTAATTCCTACGTTCATTCTGTAAGAAGATTGAACGACCCTACTGTAATGGCGTTTTTTCTGAGCTTTTTCCGCCACATGATTATTGACAAACGTGTTTTTTTCAGGGTGTGAATTATTGAGGTTTCTGTATTTCTGAAGGTTTACCCATTCGATAGTGATGCATTAAGGAGTAATGCTGGATAAGTAAAATATTTAGTAAAATCTAAATATTTCTTACATTTGTATACTTATCCTGCATTACTACGTTTAAGGACCCACCTGTCGCAGTCTTGCCTCCCCACTTTGTCTTCAGAAACCTCAGAAGTATGTTTTTTAAGCTTAGGGACAGGCAGTGATGTGAGGAAGGTGACTTGTCACCAAGGTCACATGGCAGCGGCGATGGTCCGTACAAAAAGCAGGACTTTGAAACATCTTTTTTTCTTCACCCAAGACCATCGCTGTGCTGTCTTTTTGTTGTCGTAAGGTAAGCAGTGAATGCATTAAGGAAAAATGCAGGATAAGTAAACAAATGTCAAAAATATTTAGATTTTACTAATTATTTCAAGTCTATTAATAGTAACCAAATTAAAGGTTTTACCTGAAGTATTGTGGTCATTAAGAATCAGCCAAGGATGTTAAGAAGTGGGTTGAACAGCCATGACAATCTACTGACACTGTAATCTTCAACTGTTTTCAGACCCGAACCCCCCGACGACCCCTCCGTTGTATGATGTCAGCCTTGGGTGTAACTCCTACATCCCTGACGCTGTCGCTACATACAGCATGTGCCATCTCGAACAACATCGCTACAGTGGACCACATCAGTGGGCTGTATCTTGTTTCCATTGTGATTGGGACGAAACTCCAAGTTCCTTCAGGGAGCACAGACTTTGAATGACCTTGAATAATTAGTTCAGTTTATTCTGTCTGCCACCTTGTAAATACAGTGCTACCCAGCTTAGCATGAAGAAGCATTAGCAGATATAATGATTCACTGACATATCAACCTCTGGTTTTGTCAAGGTCATCTTTATGAAAACAAAATATTAAATTAAGCTGGTAGCATTTTTTGTGACATACAAATAAAGTATGACAACACCAAAATATAGGGGGAAATTTACTAGAAAAGATTGAATACCTTTAAAAAGACTTGCCATCGCCTACATCTGTATTATGAGTTGATGTTATGGATGATTTATTGTGTAAAATTTAGAGGACGAGTGACGGTACATTCAAGGAACATAACTGCCAAAAAAAAAAAAGTTTTCATACAGCAGTTCTGTTATGTCCCGATAACGTAGCGTCATGAGTTATCTACTTAGGGTATGAATATCTTGCATTACACCCACTATATTCCCAGTGTACTCTCAGTATGTTCATCATATATATATATTCTGTGTTATGAAATGGGGAAGCCTCATTGGCCATTATCGTTAACATACAGGGTTGTATACTTTGTGCTGGACTGTTACATATAATATACAATGACAGTGAAGTTAGGAAACAATTATTCCACAATCCCATTCCATTATATACTACACAAAAGAAGTTCAGGATCACCCGATTCTTTCATATTACTATACCGTAGTTAATTTCTCTGGTATGACAGATTAGCCATTATAACATGAAAGAATCGCGTGGTCCTTAACTTCTTAGGAACACTTCTTAGGAATACTTCTGAGGAATACTTCTTAGGAATACTTCTTAATATGTATAAGCATGATAATGCTTGGAATATCTCAGAAAATCACATGCCTATTAAGGAAAACACTATTATTTTTGTCAAGCTCGGAAAAGCACTGAGTTTCTGTAAAAAATGGTCCCTTAGCATTTACATATCTATTCTGATCTTTCCCCTAAAGTGAAGAGAATATTTTAGAAATCTCTTCTCTGAGAAGTTATATCTTATAAACTCATCTCTTTGAAGTCAGGGCCCTGTGATACAATGTGATCGTAGCGCTAAGATAATCGTAACTCCAATACTTTATCATAGGTTTATGTATGAGTCGTAGCGCTAAGTCGCTTTGTGGAACGATTAATGATTAGGATTCATAGATTTGTTATTCAGACTTATTTGTTTTACCTACTTGAGACCTGTTTTGGCCCTACATATTTCTTCGCCAGTCATCATGACAAGGTTGGTTATTCCCATTATGCCACTAGGATGCGTTATGAACATTTTTTCGGCAGGTTATTCTTCGTAACGACCCCACAGTTCAATTCAGGTTTGGCATTGTTGAGTAAAGCGCATTGAGTATCGTGGCTCATGTGATATGGACGCCTCAGGTGATGTAAAGAAACTCATCCATTATCTTGTGTTCACTCTCAGACTTCCCTGTGCATATAACATAATTAAAGTACAGTCTATAGTCTAAGTACCTTGCGTACCATGAAAATCATATTCATATATATACATGTCAGATTTGGATATTGCATATGCATGGGCGCCCACAAAAAGGAAATATTCCAATCCTTTTCCTTTGTAATATGACGTGACACCATATGAAATTGGTATATGGACATTTCAGTCTGAAACTCAAGATCAAGGTATGAATTGTAACCCATGCTTGTCGTAAGAGGCGACTAACGGGATCGGGTGGTCAGGCTCGCTGACTTGGTTGATGCATGTCATTGTATCTAAATTGCATAGAACGATGCTCATAATGTCAATCACTGAATTGTCTGGTCCAGACTGGATTATTTACAGACTGAAGTCATAGCTTGAATATTGCTGGGTACAACATTAAGCAACAAATAAACAAACAAACAAACAAATGAAACTGAGGGTATATATAGCCAATGTATGGGACCAACATTCTTGTAGTGTTCACTCTTGTATTAATGGTACTCCCACATCAAACCATTTCGATATTTCTCTCACTTCAAGTATGTGATGTGTTCAGTATTTTTGAAGGGATGAAAGCGTTGATTATACTCACCCAAGTATAATCTCCATATAATAATTACAGTGTATTGGCATTATCAGAGACATAATGCTGATGGGATTTGGGTAACTTCGCAAGTTACGTCATTAAGCAGCCAATCAGTGCCCAGAACACAACATATTGCCCAATCAAAGGGTAGTATATCATATGGGACCTTTTAGGACAACTGGGATTTCCATATTTTCAAATTTGGGGAAAACTTGAGAGAATTTAAATAGAAATTCATTGACATGGTTTTTATTTTTCGTAAGTACTTTTTTTTTCTTTTTTTAAATTTTGAATTTGATGTGTGACTAACATGTGTGAAAGGTTTTTTGATAGCATACTTTATGTTTAGTTTTTAATTTCATTTTTACGAAGTATAAAACTTGTATGACAAATGTGGAAATAGGAAGACAGAGTTTAGCTATCGTATAGTGAGTTTGGAAGTTTTGTCCATACCTGTGTTGTCCATGGTTAAAGTACCATGACACCTAATATGACTTTTCTGATTCGATACCCGAAACTACAAATAGTAATGTGTGTCGTTGCAGGTATTAATTTAGTTTATCAGTTTCATGCTGCAATTAGACCTGATTGTCAAAATGACGGAATGATTGACACCTGTCACTCATCTCATTCTCCTACATAGATCTGTAGCTGCAATGTCAGAGAGATGTCAGTTGGTTTTGTTAAGAATACAAGACTTTCCTCCAGCTTGAAGTTAGCAGGCTGTGATGAACACTTGTAAAACTCATCTCACTCACCAATCTCATTCAAATCTGATCTTACTTCTCGCCACCACTATTTAAACAAGGATCTGAACACATCCCAATACAGGTCTTGTAAGAACAAACTTTCATCTGACCAATCAGGTGTTGCTTACCAGATCGGGAAAGTGACAGTCGGAATGTGTTTTCGAATCACCTCAAGAAGGTTAACACAGGGTGTTCCGAATCACAATTACTTTCAATCGCCAGAAGAAAGAATTGCCATATGATCTTGGCCATCTATTAGACATTCCAGAATTTCATGTGTTTAGGTTTCAAATTTTTTATCAATATTTTTCAAAGCGTTGTCTTGAATAGATGTCGGCAGTTTGAAACTAGTGCCGTAAAATTTTTAGAAAGTTGCTTTCTGATTGGTTAATGTCGACTTCTTGCTCGACATGTCCTAGGTCCGTCACAGTTCGCGAAAGATCGTTCTGACCAGACCTATAATGGGATGTCCTCTGTTTTGATCTGGGGGCACAGGTGGCCCCGCTGTGTTGCGTCTCTTGGGCACGCCAGAAGCCTATGATTGAGGATTCGAATCCCGGTTCGCCCCGATTATATTTCTAGGTTTGTCAGCACCAAACCTGTGCTCGTAGGTTTAACCGAAGTGGTAAACGTCTGAGACCTGCATCACTTCGGGCTTTCCTCCCACATTAAGCTGACCCGCCATGATATAACTGGAATAATGTTAATAGCTGCGTTAAACCGAGCTCACTCATACACTGACATCTCCCTGACATTGCCACCACGTGCATGTGCCCCGAAGAACGAAGTGCTGTGACTACTGTGATATTTATTACTGCTTTGTTTGATATGTACATACTTTGTGTTAGAGCAGATCGGTGCCTTTGGTAGGGGAGAATAGTAGGAACAGAAATCTCTTGTTGCCAAGGTTTAGTCGAAAGGAATTTTATTTCTTTTTTTTTAGTTGTTTCAGTTTCTGACATTAAGAGAAAGTACGGTTCTCTAAACTTGATACTCTTGATGATTGGTTAACTTTTTTTAAGAAAACTTTGTTAAGAGAGCCTCTTTGATTTGTATGGGGACAGATGGAATCGGGTGACGTTTGGGTATTTTCCCCAAACAAACTATTGCTTTTGTTCACCACTATCTACTAACTATTTATTTTGGACATATTACTGAAGAAACTGTTCATTTAAAAAATCTTCATGTATCCCCCTAGAAATCAAATGGATGCTCCCTATGCTATCTTGGAAATTTTGATATTCACAAAACTTGTGTGGTCTTAGTGAAATTCTGACTTTAGATTCAGTACATTTTTGTGATAAAAATCAACTTTTTTATTGATAATTTCACCATTGGCATGTATGCTGCTTAAAAGAAGTTAAGGACTGCCCAATTATTTCATATTACTATAGTGGTGGTGGGGTAGCGTACTGGTTAAAGCGTTTGATCGTCACGCCGAAGACCCGGGTTCGATTCCCGACAAGGGTACCGTGTGTGAAGCCCATTTCTGGTGTCCCCTGCCATGATATTGCTGGAATATTGCTAAAAGTGGCGTAAAACCATACTCACTCACTCACTCACTTACTCACTCACTCACTCACTCATATTACTATAATTATTCTGAAATAATGTGAAAGAATCAGGTGGTCCTTAGCTTATTTTGAGTGGTATATATTCACTCATAGATACAGCTACATTGGTTTTTACTGATACAAGGAAGTGAGAAGATTTGATCTGTATTGCTGGAACTGGCTACTTCGGTCAAGTTAGTCAACGTTGTAACCAACAATGTGATAATTAGCCCCTTGTTTCTACTCATGTTAATTTGTACATATTGACTGTTTGTTTGCACTCATTCTGTGATTTTCTGTTTCCATGTGTTGATTTCACATATCACGTCACCCCCCACTCTCATGATGTCAATCACTGGATTGTCTGGTCCAGACTCAATTATTTACAGACCGCTGTCATATAGCTGGAATATTGCTGAAAGCGGCGTTGAACAACAAACAAACAAACAAACCAGCATTCAGGGTGTGTCCTCATCAAGACAAAATGGCAGAAAACTATCCAAGTATTGTACTATATATCTATAAATGTCTGGTAGATATCATTGTTCAATGGGGTGCACGGGTGGCCCAGTCGTCTAAGGCGCCGCAATTCGCTGTGCAGAGTTGCGTCCCTTGGGCATGCCAGGAACCTATGATTGTGGGTTCGAATCCCGGTTTGCCCCAGTTATGTTTCTAGGTTTGTCAGCACCATATCCGTGCTCGTGGGTTTCACCAAAGTGGTAAACGTCTGAGACCCTCATCACTTCGGGCTTTCCTCCCACATTAAGCTGACACGCCTTGATATAACTGGAATATTGTTAAAAGCGGCGTTAAACCCAACTCACTCACTCACTCACTCACTCACTCACTCATTGTTCAATGTGTACCAGTTCTGCAATCCTGTGTTGGTCGATCCTTCATACTGATTCAGTATAATTTGTTTTGCATCTATCTGCTGTCTGATCAAATATGCTTGACTTTTTTGTGTAAGAGAGTACAAGAGTTGTGTGTGTCAGTGCTATGGAAATGTCTACAGCATTCCAACCAGTTGTTGATTGAATGTTATGTTTTATATGTATTTGACAACAAACATGTCCTCGTTTTATTGATGGAAATGTCTGAAGATACTGTTTCTAGAACTTGAGAGAGTACGACACAAAACCATGATTTCCATTTTAATCATTCACATCCTCCAACCTGAATACCCAACATGTATGCCAGTCTGTGTAGGTACTCTCAAGCTAGAAATGTAGGTCAGCTTGAAGTCCCGCGTTTCAGTTTGCCACACTGAAGAGTACGAACAAATGGCATCCATCCTGTTTTGCTAATAAAGTTGTAGAAAAAAAATGTTGTTTCTGTTTGTGTGACATAAGTCCATATACCCACCAACAAAAGAAATGTGAATGCCATACGTTGGTTAATATATGAAGAATTACTCACATTCAAGAGATGTTAGATTGGTCGACGCACAAACGAACATACTGGTATGTTGTGTGAATCGACGCTCATGAACACATCACATGTGATGTCATAGATCCATGACTCGAGATGCACCATTTGTCTAGCGGGATTTGCGTGTAAAGTTTGGTAATCACGTGCTGCAGATCGTGATAAGAATATAAACTCTGTGGTAAGACTTGACCTTTCGATGGTTCTTGTTTCTTTTGGCGGTGAGTATATACGACAGTGCATGTTGATGCAACAGAAGTTGACCTGTGAAGACTCCAGTAGATGTTGACGGCCTCCGTGATCTAGTGGATAGAGCGTCAGTCTGGAGAGTGGAAGGTTGGTGGTTCAATCCCAAAAAGATGTTATAAAATTGTATTTGTTACCCTGCATGGCTCTCGGCACTAAGAGAATAAAACAAGGACTGGTTGGTTTGTGTTGGAGTGGGGCATCCATGGTAAACTGCGGCATCTCAGCACTATAAAACCAGTATTAGTTCAAGCAACCACACACATGCATGCACATCGCTGTATAAGGGCAATAGTCTTAATCCTGTTAAAACCCATTTCATCTCACCTCATCTGTAGATGTATGGTCCCATGAAGATTCTGGTTTAGAGTAGGTCTTCAGCAACCCATGTTGCTATACCCTGATGTCATGGCTGATTGTGTCACCATACACTGACATCATTTCTGATTGTGTCGCTTTACCCTGATGTCATGACAGATTGTGTCATAATACCCTGATGTCATGCATGGCTAATTGTGTCATCATACCCTGATGTCATGGCTATTTGTGTCGCCATACCCTGATGTCATGGCTGATTGTGTCACCATACCCTGATGTCATGACTAATTGTGTCGCTATACCCTGATGTCATGCATGGCTAATTCTATCATAATACCCTGATGTCATGACTAATTGTGTCACCATATCCTGATGTCATGGCCGATTGTGTCACCATACCCTGATGTCATGCATGGCTATTTGTGTCACCATACCCTGATGTCATGGCTGATTGTGTCATCATACCCTGATGTCATGGCTATTTGTGTCGCCATACCCTGATGTCATGGCTGATTGTGTCATCATACCCTGATGTCATGGCTGATTGTGTCATCATACCCTGATGTCATGGCTGATTGTGTCACCATACCCTGATGTCATGGCTATTTGTGTCGCCATACCCTGATGTCATGGCTGATTGTGTCACCATACCCTGATGTCATGGCTGATTGTGTCACCATACCCTGATGTCATGGCTGATTGTGTCATCATACCCTGATGTCATGGCTGATTGTGTCACCATACCCTGATGTCATGGCTGATTGTGTCACCATACCCTGATGTCATGGCTATTTGTGTCGCCATACCCTGATGTCATGGCTGATTGTGTCACCATACCCTGATGTCATGGCTATTTGTGTCGCCATACCCTGATGTCATGGCTGATTGTGTTACCATACCCTGATGTCATGACTAATTGTGTCGCCATACCCTGATGTCATGACTAATTGTGTCACCATACCCTGATGTCATGGCTGATTGTGTCATCATCATACCCTGATGTCATGGCCGATTACATGACTGATGTCTTCAGCAACCCATGCTTGCCATTAGAGGCGACTAAGCTTGTCGTAAGAGGCGACTAATGGGATCGGATGCTCAGGCTCGCTGACTTGGTTGATGCATGTCATCATATCCCAATTGCCTGGATTGATGCTCATGATGTCAATCACCAGATTGTCTGGTCCAGACTCGATTATTGACACTCCACCATCATATAGCTAGAATATTGCTGAGTGCGGCGTTAAACAACAACAACATGACCAACTGTCATCATCCTACCCCGAGTACATGACTGGCTGTGCCATGTAGAGATACTCTACTCTCAAGAACTCCAGGTGCAGCAGAAACAAGAAGTCAGTATTTGGATATACAATTTATTTGTGTCAAGGCTTACACTGTCCTGATGTACATGTCCAGCTATCTAAGTCTGTAGTACAAATGTAGAAAACTGTTACTCTGGCCCACCACTTGGATAACAAGACGCAGTGACGTAGTCGACAGGAACACGTCCTCACAAAACCAGGGCCCAGCCACACAAGACAATTTTTACAACTTCCGTAAATCTTTGCAAAAACTTACAACAATCATTGTGCAAAGACTGCTTTGGGGAGACAACCAGTCTTTGTCAAAGCAGTCTCAGCATGGTTAAGCTGTAATTCTAACATTGCTCTGTGAGAGTGGATCCTGGTTGGCCACTACTGTCCGACTATGACTCAATAAATATTCATGCTTTGGGAAATGAGCTAAGATCATCAGCCCTGAAAGAGGATACCT